AAATGATAGCTCAAGTGTTAAATGAAAAATTTTGATATAATAGCTAAATATTACATTCAACCAATCAAAGTTTTTTAATTAGAAGATGAAGAAGAGTCAAATGCAATTTAAGTTCAAAAATCTTCTCAAATTATTTCTCTCTTTTAATGAATGATTGTAATAAATTAAGTATTAAAAGAGAAATGAGAAACTTTGATGATCATGATGATTTTACAATTTTGATTAAATCAATCAAAGTTTTCAACATGAAAAAGTAGAACTGTTTATACAATGTCAGTGTAAAGATTTTTTTCAAAAATATATTTCTCGTTTAAGATGAAATAAAAAGTTAAGCACAAAAATAAATGGAAAACTTTGATGAGATAAATTATTCAAGATGTTTTATCAACAATCAAAGTTTTTGTTATGAAAAAATAAATGAATGTAAAAATGTAACCACAATGAAGATTTTCAGAAATGTATTTCACAAGAAATCTCTCTTTTAGTTGTTGTAATGAATGCAAAGTGAAGTGATATTTATAGCAGTCAAAACGTCAAAATTTCTGACTAATCGGACAACCCATCCGAACGCTCGCATTCTGAACCGAACAACCAAACTAGCCATTGTGTGTCAGAAATCAGAACGCTTAAAAAAATGACCGTCAGCGAACCAGGAGTATGATTGGATTTTTTTTTTTTTTTTTTTTTGTGTTTTTGTTTTGAAAAATGTAGGCATTTGAATGACGTTTTCACTTTATTTTTCAAGGTAAGTAATATTGTAAAAAGTTTAAATAACAAATTGAAATACTTACCTCTTTAAAGAATAATTTTTATGCAAATGTTTTTATGAAATAATCTTTTCGTGCATAAAATGATTTTTGAGCTTTTTTCATTCATTGCTAAATATTAAAGTATTAATACATTTATATTTGAACTAAGAAATCTAGTCTTTGATCTTATTTCGAAGGTTGCCTCTTAGGCTTCTCATTTTGATCTTTCTTTGATGTCGTCTTTCGTGCTCTTGATCTTTTTTAGTGTTTGTCTTTTAAGTTCTCGTCTCGAGTGATTTGATTTGAATGCTTAACTTTCACTTTGATCTTCATTTCGAGTTCGATTTATAATGTGTTGATTTTGACAATACTTGATTGATTTTAACATTGAATTATCATCACTCAAAATCAATTGTTAGAAATAATAATAATTTTGTTTGTTATGATCAAAACATTTACGATGAAATCAACCATAAGTCAATAATTTACCCAATTTTAATTATGACAAACAAGATAATTTGTAAGGTAAAATTGAACAATTGATATCAAATTGATAAAGGAATATATATTATAAATTTATCATATAATTCATATTCTCCTCTCTTTTACAAATCAATAACCATACATTCAAAGCATATAAATGATTTTCCCTCTTTCCCCATTTTCATATACTTCAATCATATTATATTTTCATATTAAAGCATGCATAATCATCTCATTCTATTTCCTCATTTTGGCATAAGCAAAAAGAATAGTATATTGATGATCGAAAATTTAAATTAACCACAAGAAGGAGTATTATTCTTCCCAAACACAAAATGCCTAATATGTGCCAAATATATTCAAAATATTGATATCAAAACATAATAGGCCACATTAAATTTCATAGCATATTTCAAAACATTTGAGATCTGCAATGCACTATCTACAAAAGGTTTCTGAACATATTTTTCCCTTCGTTTTGAAGGATTTGCTCAGTACATGGGAGAGAATTGATAAATCAAATTTAGGGCAACACTATTGAAGGATAACATATCTTATTAATGAAAAATAAGTTATAAGACCGTAGACAACACTCGATTTCTAACTCAGAAACCCAACATCTGAGCTCAAACCTAACATGGATCTATGCACAGACCCATTTAACAAAAACTCCACACACAAATCCTAAGATCCAAGTCTTCCATGAACCACAATTTCTTGCACGTATTCCATCTCTCTTCTAACACGTAGAAATCCAAGGATTATCTCCTTCGATCTATCGCACATTTGAGGGTCGTACCAGTCAAAAAAGTTACATCCACCAACATCTTGACGCCGTGGACAAGTGATAAATCTTCTTCCTATATACAAGTCCGTCCATGAGGTCTTTATCTGCACATGGTAACATCTATAGACATTGCTCTCCATATTCGTGCTGAAAATAATCTAAGATAAATGGAAGAGAGAGAAGATATATATAAGACCTGAAAATGGAGGGAAATGAACGGTAATTAGCACAGTGAATGAGGGAGAAATAGAATTGGACAAAATTGCCCCCGTTTAAATGGGTCAAAATTTGCCTTTTTCCATTTTTGAGGTCAATTGACGGTGGAATTAACGTTTCCGTCATTTTGGACTATAGTTGCAAATTTTTCAAAGGTTTGGGACCTGTTTGGCACAAACTTAAGGTTGAGGTAAATTATGCAAAAAAAAAAACAAAAGTTTGGGACTACAGCTGCAATTTTCTCATTATTTTATTTCCAGTTATTAAAGTTGAATCTCTTTTGTACCAAACTAAGATGGAGATTATTAGAAACTACGAATTAAGATGGATACAATTTTAAAGAAAGATAATAAATCCATACATATTTCCACATAACTAATTTACTCATACTTATGCAAGGAAATTTGTGATTAGAACTCAATCAAATGTCAGAATTAAAGCCTAATTAACTGTAATAAAAAGTAGTTTGTACTGACAAGTTTTAATAGGATCCAAATACAAACTAGTTTAGAATATATTTATTTATTAAAAAGATTTATTATGCACGTTATAATTATAAGGCATAAATTGTTATCTTCTAAATTAGGTACGCCAAGCAATGATTACAGACAGGGATACGTTTCCATATTTAAGTGATTTAGCATTAATTTTATACCTATATAAAGTTCATGGCTTTGCAAAACTTACGAGAAAAATAAGTAGCCTAGCAATGGAAACCCTAGAAAAGCTGGCAATGAAGATGAAGGAAAAAGTTGTGGAACAAGGGAAGGTAGAAGACGAACCTACTTCTCGTGTCGGATTAGATCTTGAGCTTTATAATTCGGGTTCGTCTCGTGCAACTGAGCCATCAAATGAAGAGGGTCGACGATTAGAGCCTAAAGTATTCACATGCAGCTTTTGTAAGAGAGAGTTTTCGACTTCTCAAGCACTTGGCGGGCATCAAAATGCCCATAAACAAGAGCGTGCATCGGCCAAAAAACGACATGGCCAAGTAATGGAAGTGGCTGCACCACCGCCTTCTCTTTTGGGCGGAGGCCAACCACCGTATCCTTACCATCCTTACTCCAACTTTCATAATCATCACCAAATTATCCCTTTCTATGGCACTTTCGATAGATCGGTTGTTCCGGTTCGGTCCGATTCCATGATTCATAAAAAATCTTATAATACATGGTTTTCTTCTAGCCATGAAAAGTTGTCTAGGCCATTTTTTATGAATGAAAGGCTGCTGATGCAAAATAAATTACAGGCGCGTCAAATGAATGCTGGATTTGGCCATGAAAAGTCTGAAAACGGAACTGCAGCTCTTGTTTTAAGACTTAATTCTCTGGATAATACAGCACCAAATAAGGCAATGGAAGGCAATATTAATAATCAAGAACTTCAACTGGGGCATTCAAATTGTGATCAAACTGATGCATCGGGTCTTGATTTGAATCTAAAGCTTTAATTTATTCATTTCTTATTATTTTTTTTATTTTTTAACTTGGTGTTGTTCATTTTTGATTGAAGAATTATTACATATTTCCAATTTTCTTGTAATAAAATATATTATTGAATTAAATTGTTATAATTTCTCATTATGAATTTCAATTTTTAAATTTAAAACAATTTATTGTTTGTTGATTAACATAGTCTACAATTATGGGATTACTGTCTTTTTCTCCCTAAATTAATGAAAGCAAAGACTTAAATCAATATATTTTTTAAAAGGAAGACTTAATCAATATTAATTGTTAAATCAAACATTTTTTAACTCTTCTATCCAAAGTTCAGTCACCCAAATAGGTTGGAAAAGCACTCAAAAATATAAAAAAGGTTTGTCTTCGAAAGCTTCAATTGGTGGCCTAAGTTTAAAAATTTACTTTTGTGAATTTACTGATATATAAAACAATATTAAATAAATAATTTTTTTTTTTTTATGAAAGTTAAAATCAGCATATTTTGAAAGTAAAAATATAGATAGTTTTCTAAAAAATAAATATAATAACTCTTTCTGCTCAAAATTAAGTAAATAAAGTTATTTAGCCCATGTTTGTCCCATTATTCCAAAAAATTGTTTGCTACAGTAGGATTCTCTACCATACATTCACCTAATAAAATATTTTACATACAAACCAATAAAGTTACTTTATTTTTCAACTACACATTTTTTTTTTTTTAATGAAAGTTAAAATCAGCATATTTTGAAAGTAAAAATATAGATAGTTTTCTAAAAAATAATAATAACTCTTTCTACTCAAAATTAAGTAAATAAAGTTATTTAACCCATGTTTGTCTCCAGTATTCCAAAAAATCGTTTGATACAGTAGGATTCTCCANTAAAAAAGGTTTGTCTTCGAAAGCTTCAATTGGTGGCCTAAGTTTAAAAATTTACTTTTGTGAATTTACTGATATATAAAACAATATTAAATAAATAAATCTTTTTTTTTTTTATGAAAGTTAAAATCAGCATATTTTGAAAGTAAAAATATAGATAGTTTTCTAAAAAATAATAATAACTCTTTCTACTCAAAATTAAGTAAATAAAGTTATTTAACCCATGTTTGTCTCCATTATTCCAAAAAATTGTTTGCTACAGTAGGATTTTCGATCACACATTCACCCAATAAAATATTTTACACACAAACCAATAAAGTTGCTTTATTTTTCAACCACACATTCTCAAAAAAAATACTATCTATTAATCTATTTTTCTCCCAATAATGGGAGACAAACATACTCTTAAACTTAGGCTTTCATTGCTCTCTCTCTCTCTCTCTCTAAGAAGTTGGCATAAAATGAATGCCCCTAAAATCAGCATATACTTTATTTATTGTTTTTACTTTAATATCATCATTTTTATGAATCCATATGAAATGTTTAATACTCAATATTGATTAAATATGCAATTAAGAGATTAATTTGCTTGTTTTCCTTTAATATAAAATGTGATATTAAATCAAATAAATCATTCAATTTATAGCTGTATAAGGTTACAAAAGTATATATTTACATAATATAACTGTGGGGGGGTGGGGGGGGTGGGGGGGGGTTTAGTTTCATAAAAAAATTGTGGCAAATTAATATCTAAGTCCGTTATCCAAGTTTAAATATGTTTTTCATATATAGTCGATGGCCTAATAATAGGGCAGTGTCACTTGAAATTTCTTTATAGTGCCTCGCTCGAAAATATTTATTTAGATTGCTTTGATACATGCACGTGGGAACTCATTAAATAAGTTTTATAATGGATGATTCGTCGTGATTACGATAATAATTGCATAATCAATTCTCGCTTTTGATAATTTTAAATGTATAATTTTCCTGTGACCAATAAAATTATTACATAACATAAATTGATGCAGTCCCAAACAAGAGAGACCCGTATGGATCACTTATTTAGATGGTTTTAATATTTAATATTTATTTAATTAAAATTTAGTATATATTTGCAATTTCTAGTTGAGTTCGTTAGACAAAAATCGATCCAGAGCAATTATGCGGAAATGAATTGGATCGAAAAAACCGAAATACTATAAGGATCGGTTCATACCTCCGACCATTGATGATGTTGCAGAAGCTCTCCTTTCTACAGGTAATGGAACTTCCAAAGTCTCAACACTCTCAATAGATTGTGTATCTTGTATTTTCGGTGGTGGAGCTTGGGGACCAAAACCTCTATATATATAGCCAAAACTCCCATCAAATTATGGCTTAAGTTACCAACCAATTGTAGTGAAATTGAATTCCATAAATGTTGAAACTGTTGAAACTGAAAATCCCATGAATGTTGGACCATTAATATGACCATTGAAGAAATTGTAAGAGACTTCAACGAGAATGTGAAGAGAAAAATATGTTACATTCCCTCACTTGGTCCATACATTCAGCCAAATGTTTCAACTAAATTCCATCAATTGTCCTTTTTAAGAAACAAACACATGAATCATGGCGAGGGGTTCTTTGATAACGAGTAGTATCTTCCATGAATTACAATGTGTTTAGTTCCTCAAGAATTATTTTTTACGTGGTAACAATACTTAATGAAAAGACCTTATGTCTTATTCTTGATCCGACATAAATGTATTTTCTCAAATAAATTAAGGCGCGCATAAATATGAGAAAATATCAAAATAAATAAGAGTTTCATTTTCTCTACATAATCCTTGAATTTCAGTGGTGGCATGGCCTTAGTCAAAGGATCAGCGATCACCAATTCGGTGCTTACGAACTCAATGACCACTTTCTTTTTTTAATAAATTCTCTTATGGCTAAATATTTAATGTCGATATGCTTACTTCGACTACTACTTTTGTTGTTTTTAGCCATAAAGATAGCAGCCGAATTTTTGCAATAAATTCTTAATGGCCTAGAAATGGATCCATAACTCTAAACCTAGTTATGAAACTCTTGATCCATACACCATGTGAAGTAGCCTCAAAACATGAAACGAACAATTAAGGTTTGCTTGGCACTCCTCCATGGTACAGCTCCACCAGTTATCATAAAAATATATCCTGGTGTTGATTTTCATGAATCAACACAATCGACAAAGTCTGAATCTGAGTATCCAATCACTTCCAGATTATCTGTCCGTTTATACATAAGCATGTAATTTTTGGTTTGTTAAAGGTACCTCATTACTTTCTTTGCTGCTCTCCAATGAACATACATGGATTACTATGATTTCGTCATAATATTCCTATAACAAATGCAATGACAGACCTTGTGCAAACTTGAGCATACATTAGGCTTTCGACAGCAGAAGCATGTGGAATGTTTTTCATTTGTTCCCTTTCCAAATCATTTTTCGGGCACTTGTTCAAATTGAACATATCACCTTTCACAATGGGAGCAACACTTGGTAAACAATTTTTCGTCTGGAATCTCTCTAAAACTTTAGTGATATAGGTTTTCTGAGACAAACCCAAAATTCTTCGTAATCTATCTCTATGAATCCTAATGCCAATGACACAAGATGTCTCACTCATATCCTTCATATCGAAATGCTTAGAGAAGAATTGTTTCACCTCATACAACAAACTCTTATCATTTGTTGCAAGTAAAATGTCATCTACGCATAAAACAAGAAAACAAATCTTACTCCCACTAACCTTTTGGTATATACATTGATCCATGGGATTTTCAACAAATCCAAATGAAGAAATTACTCCATTAAATTTTAAATACCATTAACGGGATGCTTGTTTTAAACCGTACATAGACTTCTTAAGCTTACATACCAAGCCTCAAATAATTACCATAAAAAGAAATGGAGGATGCGTAACAGTGACAAGTCGCTTGATCATCATTACTCAACGACAGGGGCAGATTTGGCAGTGCGCTGTACTGGGCTGTAGCCCACTGCCGTCCAAGCCCAAATACACTACAGAATGCTGAAATTAGTTGAAAATAGTTTTAATTGTAACCTGTAGCCCACCAACAATTATTTTCAATAGGCTAGCCCATCTAAATTTCTCACCTAATTTTTTCTTGGGAAGATTACATATTCAAGAGAATAAGTTTAACCTATTTCA